TGGGAGGGTGACATAAGTGTATCACTTGAACTTGGGAATTCTTAGCTGCAGTAGATCTAAAACTGATAAGGTATCTGTCTACACTAACTCTGACATCAATATGGTGAGCCCTCTGGAGCAGGGTGGCCACCAGGTTGTCTAACGAGGGGCATACTGGCCCAAGTTAGAAATGGAGCAGGTCAAAGCTTCTGTGTTGATCAGTAATGAGATCAGTCCTGTGATTAGCTGTTGCACATCCAGCCTGGGTAATGTAGTGATATCTAGTCTCAGAAAAAACGAACCCTAAATCGCCAAAAAACCCTTAAATATACCTTGCTGTAAGGCAAGAGTCGGGAACTCTTGCGTGCAAGTAAAAAGCAATTTAAACCCTTAGAATAAATTATTGCTGATTACTTTGACCCTTAAAAACACTCCTGAAAGAAAAGGTACGACTCACTTTTTTAAGTTTAGAAAGGGCTAGAAAATGGAAGAGAAGCGTTCAGGGAATAAGGGCAAAGGAGCATGGAAAGTGAGAAATGGAAGGGAAGGGGTATAAAAAGGGGAAGGAAGACTGGTGGATGAACAAGTGTCTGATGTACCTGATTTGCCATTTTTGCTGTTGTGTATTTTTTAAAAAGAGGTTTTCCTACAGCAAGCTCTTTGAGATTTTATAGTTAGACAATTTTTTTTAAGGGCCTGGTATTTTTTTCTTTATGTCTTTTTAAAAAAACATATCTCACTGAATAAGATGTTTTTAAGTAATCTTAAAGGTTTTGTCCTGATGTTTGTTTTTTTTTTGAATCTGACTACTTATTTTGTTGTCCTTTTCTAAGACTGAATAAATATAAGACACATTATTTGTAATGACTGACACAAAGAAAAGAATCTTCTTATGGCACAGTAAAATTTGTGAATTTTTAAAGTAATTTTGTGTTGTCACAAAGTTACTGGCATAATGAGTTTCTTAATTTTAGAAAAATTGCCCCACACAAGTTTAAAATTAGGCCAAGGACCAGAGGTTCCCTACTTTGGCTTTAAGCAAACTTGAATGTGAAAGTTTGTGTTCACAAAACTAAATTATGGAGTGATTCAGCTTTTTAGAAAAGAAGTTTTACTTTACAAATTGAGTATTAGTGTTGAGATTTAAATTCCTACTGTGTGCAGGACGCTATGCTTAAGCATTGTGGTGGGTAAGAAGAATTTTGTAGTTTGAGAGCCTTCAAGAAGCTTAGTTGGGAACAAGACACAATGATATGGAAAGTTTAATGATAACAATAGATGTCACAAGATAGCATGTGCTTAATTGGTGTGCATTTGTTCTACATGATATGTGTTGTAGGGATTCAGAGTAGGGGAAGGATAACTGGATTGGAGTAGTCTAGAAATTGGGTCTTTAAAATGAGTAGGACATAGGTGGGGAGAAAAGAAAGGGCATTTCCGATAAGTGAGGAAAAAGTGCTGAGGTATAGAAAATTTGCAAGGCACGCTCAAATGATAGGGATCTGGGTGGAAAATCTGAAAATGTAAGTGGAGGAAAACTTAAAAATATTTAAGTACTAATCTCCCCAATATTTATTTTATTCACGTTTTAAAGTTTTCATATATGTATCCATATCTTACATTTCCCTTCAAAGAAATTTGCTCTACAACGTATCATGACTAGTTCTTTAAGATATCTTAAGGAGTTTTCATCGTGCACTTGCCTCTTTGTGTAGTGGAAAGAGCACTGGACCCGGGAGTCAGAAGAGCTAGACTCTCGTTCTGGCTTTGTCATTAATTAGCTTTGTACCTTTGGAAAGGGAACGAATTTTTTGGACATCATTTTCCTCCTGCTGGTTAAATGTAAGCGCCTTCAGGGTAGGGGACTTTTTTGTTCTTGTTATTCATAGTCTATCAGGGTTCCTTGTACTTAGCAGATAACCTAATAAAGACTTGTTAAATTGTTGAATCTGTACAATAAATATAATATGACCAACATGGGAATAATTTAGAAGAACTGATTTCCAAGTAGCAGCAAACAGCCTACTTCACAGAATTTCATTCAGCAAGATTTTAGAGGCCATTGGGTCTAATGCAACCCAAGAATCTCCCGCATTTAGGAATGTACTTCTGTCTGGGATGTCCTTAATTATTAGGGTATTAGTTAGTCATATATAAAAAATTCTGCCATTTTGCTGAAGGAATGGAAGTTTTGTAAGAGTGATTTTCAGAGGTCGCTAATCTTTGAATATTTAATAGATGAAAAATTTGCCACAGGGGAGCCAATGCTCATTAAGACTGGGAAATATTAAAGATCTGAGATATTTTGTTTCCATTTTCATCCTGTGGATCTATTCTCCATAGATATTGTACTCACTAGCAGCCACAGAATGACAAGTGTTTTTTTGTTTTTGGAAAAGGGAAGAAGTATTTTTAAAAAGCAAATAACATCTTAGTATTATTAAGAAAATCATTTGAACCTTGTAGATCCCCTGAAGGGGACTTGGTTGACCCCCAAGAGATCTGTGAACTGTGCTTTGAAAATCGTCCTCCTAGATTAACGTATTTGATACATTGTTCTTATTTTATGGTAGTACCTGTTTTGAGTATAGCATCATGATCATAACCAGCATTCATATAGTCCCTACTATGCACCAGGCACTGCACTAAGCACTTTATAAACAATTTTGAAAGGTCAGTGCTATTATTATCTCCATTTTACAGTGAAGGAAACTGAAGCAGACAGAGGTCAAGTGATTTGCCCAAGGTCACATAGGTAGTAAATGTAAGAAGCACGATCAGAACAATTCTGCATTTCACTAGAAATTTGTTTTTCCTTTAAATATGTCGCTTAAACATCTAGTGAAGTCCTCCTGATGCCTTATAGAGTCATGAATAGAGGCAATGCCAACAGAGCCTACATAGGTCCTACAAAGTTAAGAAGGTAATGGACAAACTTACAAATCTATTACAAGCCCAGGGACTGTATGCTGGTCTTTATACTACCAGTCTCTCTTAACCCAAAAGTCCAGCCACAAAATTGGCTGCAAGGAGATCACATTTTTCAGCAACAACTGTGAGATACCATTTTTCATCAGTGGAGGGAACATACACACCGGTGAAATCACAGATTGTTGAAGTATTTAGACAGTTTATTGGAAAAGGATTACTGGTTCTCACAAGTATGATTTTATTATATACCAGGACAAGCATTAGTGTGAGACTTATGAAGTGAGATGAGTGGAAAATGGGATACTCCCAGGGAAACTTGCTTTATAACAAACTTTGCTGTGTTGGTTGAGCAAGGGCTCATTTGTACTTGTTAGGCATTTAAGTCTACACCAAGAGTTCTTAACCTGGGGGCCATGAACTTCTTTTTTAAAAATATTTTTATATCTATTTGTAGGCTTTACCAGACTGCCAAAGGGACCTAAAACACAAAGAAGGCTAAGAACCCTTGGTCTTTTCCTGTTGCCCTCTTTCCCCAAGTACTTTGGAAAACTCACTTTTTACAGTCAACTGAATCATTTCTGTTTTAAAATTTGGATACCTTAAGAAATGTACTTGTAATCAGAGGTCTTGTTGGAGTACTTGGCGAATAAGATTTCTGAAAGTCATCTCTTCTCCCCATATTTATGCTTTGATACTTCCTTGGATCTGTAATGTTATTGATCTAAGTCTTCCATCTCATGGTTCAGATTGACCCTGGCTTATACCCTCTCATAAATCCTTCATTAGGTATCTATACAAAATTCAGGGAGTCTTCTTTGCAGCATACATGTGGTCTCAACTCATATCCTGGCTCCTTTGCTAAGGCATCTCTAAGAAAGGAGACCTCTTAACCTTCAATGCAGAAAAAATTGTTATAATGTACCATGCATGATTTAGGTGAATTTTCATAGGGATTGTTTCTCTGTTGTGTTTGTTCCTTGTCACAGAAATTTCAGTCTTGATATTTTTCTGATAGGTTGTTTAATAGAAAATTAAGAAGCTGGCTTTTGAATATATTTTTGTATTACAGTATTTAATTTTCTTTGAAATGGTTTTGATTTAGAAATTAATTAGAATCAATATCCCGCACATATTAGGCATCTAATAAATACTATTTGGCTGCATATTTTTATGTATAAATGTGTTTACATGGTGAGACTTTATGATCCTGTGCTATAAATTAAGATAGTCTATAAATGGGTGAAGAAATAGAAGGGGGAAAACCCAATTTTTAGGCCTCATGTATTATGTCATGTACTGTAACTATAGAATTGTATGCAAGTTAGCTTTGGTTGCTTAGGCTGGCTATCATTTGCCTTCAGACAGCTTCGCAGACATCAAATAGATGACCTGAGGGTGTGCATGCATGTGCCTCTCCATTCCCCACCATCACCCTTTTTTCTTCTTTTCCTTCCTCCCCTCTCTTCCTTTCAGGAAACCTGAATGAGATTTGGGGTTCAATGGTATTTTGTTTTCAGGGATACCCTACTTGATACTTTACAACAGAACTTTAAAGTCCAACTGTAAAATGGTGTGCTCTCATTAAGCTGCTGATCAGAAGATAATTTAAATCAATTTCTTATGACAGGGTGTTTAGTAGAAAATAAAGAAACTGGCTTTTGAATGTGTTTTTAGGTTAAAGTATTTCATTTCTTTGAAGTGATTCTTAGCTATGACAGGTATTCTTAACACTTTTTTGTGTCTTAGAGTCCTTGGGCAGTCTGATGCCTAGTTAACCCTTCTCAGGGTAATGTTTAGAAATACGTAAAGCAAAACACCTAGGATTACAAAGGAAACCAATTATGTATTATTTATAGTTTTAAAAACAAGATTCATGGACTCTAGCTAAAGAACTGCTGCCTTAGGGACTTAGCAATTGGTAACCAGATTATTGTGACACCTTTTGAAAATTTGAGTTACTTGAACATACTAATAACCTTAGAGTTCTCAGATTCTTTAAAAACAATTATGTCACTGTGATTCTTGTTCTCTAAGGGATCATTGTTTCTTTTTAACATTACATTTGATGCTTTTTTCCCCCATTTACATAGGTTGCACAGAGCATTGAGGATCATCATCAAGAAGTAATTGCTTTCTGCAGAGAAAATGGTTTCCATGGCTTGGTTGCATATGACTCTGATTATGCATTGTGCAACATCCCCTACTATTTCAGTGCCCATGCCCTAAAACTGAGCCGTAATGGGAAAAGTCTCACAACAAGCCAATATCTGATGCATGAAGTTGCCAAGCAACTGGACCTGAATCCAAATCGTTTTCCTATTTTTGCTGCTCTATTAGGTAGGTGGAGTGGCGAGAAAAGTTTATATATATTATGTAGGAGTTAAGTTTACCAACATCAAGAGTAGCTGTTTTACTTATATTACTGCAAGAATTGTGAAATTACTTAAATTGTTTGAAGAGCCTTACCTTGGTGCTTCCTGAATTTTCAGCATTGTTGTATAATGTAACTAGCTGCTGTAGGTACCTAGAAGATAGCTGTATCTCATGTGCTTGTCTAATCTTCCCTTCAGACTGAAAGAAAAGTTTGTTTTCCAAATAGAAATTTAAACTTTGGCTGTTTGTGTGTCCATGTAGATAATAAATTCGTGGTCTTATTTTCAAACATTTTAGCTACTTAAGGACTAATAAGTGAGTTAACGGGTGAGTCTTAGCTTGAAAATAGGTAAAATATGCCTTAAGTAATTAATTTTTTGTAGTTATGAGCTGGCTGTTTAATAATAATGGGTTAAAGATTTTGGACATGTATATTTGGATGCAAAAATTAATATGCGTTGTTGATGTAGATATGCATGCAATGTAGGCATTGCAGTTACCCCTTTTTATATTGGTGGTGAGGATTTTAAATTAACAAATACTCTGCCACTCCTCCTAAAGATTGTGTTTATCTGTTGACATTAACCAGAAATGACAAAAATGAATATACCTATTCTCTGAATCTTTCCCATTTAAGTGGTAAAACATGTTTTATTTTTAACAAGATAATAAATATTTATTGAATTGAATTGGACTACTTCAGTGGAAACTGAAATGTTTTATGTATATTTGCTCTAAACATAAATTTTGTGAAATGTGTGCTCTAAAACAGGGGAATACTGAGCAAAAGTTAGCTTTTTCTTAATGGCTTAGAGTCATCATTATGAATATTAATTGACTGTCCTGTAGTAACAGTGGTGCCCCTTCAGGGATCCTGAGGTATGTAGAACTGTAGTTTCTACACTAAATGGCTCTTTACTGTTATTCTGTTTGATTTCTTATATATACTTGTTAAATATATTTTTCTTTTTTTGCTGTCAAGTTGTCGCTTTTTATGCAGTCAATATACCTTCTTCGAGCAGCATTCCTTATTTGATTTCTAGTTTGTTATGGTCTAGAAAGTTTGTTGTGATTATGTTTAAGATAAAAGTAAATAGAATTTGAGTGAGAACCTGAATCTTAGTCTTCACTTATCATTTTGGTATATATTCTTGATAGTTCACTGATACCTTTTTTGGGGTGAACTTTGCCAAAAACCATGAAACACAGTTAAAATCGCTGGATAAAGCTGATGTTAAATTTTTGGGTTATACTTTTCTAATTGTTTTAGGTCAGTAGCTAATAAACAAGCTCCTCAGAGGTTATTGGTAGTTCATTATGAATTCTTTTAGTTCCTTGTCAATAGACAGGTTAGGAGCCCAGGAGTGGAGGTGGGGGGAGGTAATTAAATGCAAGAGAGCACTATGATACTCGTTTTTTAGAGGGAAAATTATTGTTGTCCATTTAGCATTTTATTTAAGTATTTTTATTTATTTTATTTTTATTTAAGATATTTTATTGCATTGCATCCAACTAAATGCACAACATTCTCATCTCATAAATCACCTTTGTTGGCTTTATTCCATTTAATCTTTTATTATCCACTTAAAAGTTAAAATGTATAGGTAAGGATATTTTTGGCTTTTGAAATATAGGTGATTTACAGCTACAGCATTTTAATATACTTTTCATATTTTTCAAAGATGAATGCTTATTGTTACAAATTGGTTATATTTTAGGGCACGTTTAATTGAAATTTTTAATTTCCATTTATTAGCTGTTTGGTCATATTTAAGCTGTGTGATGATATAATCTAAAATTGAATTTATTTTTGCTAACAGTAGTCAGGACACTACCTTCTTTAAAAGTTTAAACTTTCATGCAAACATATTACAAGTTTTGCCTGGGTTGTATTTAAATCCACAATATTTGGGGGGGTGGAGCCAAGATGGCAGAGTGAAAGCAGCAACTTGCTTGAGCTCTTCCCCAAACCTCTCCAAATACTTCTAAAAATGGCTCTAAACAAACTCTAAGGCAGCAGAGCCCACAAAAGGACAGAGTGAAGGAAATTTCCAGCCCAAGACAACCTGGATGATTGATCAGAAAGGTATATCGCACCAGGCTGGAAGTGGAGCGCAGAATGGCGTGGGCGCGCAGGCTGCAGCGAACCTGGAGCAGGCCTCAGAGGACTGAATTTTGGGCAGCTATGGCTTTTTCCAGACTCCTCAATCCATGAATGCCAAAGATAACTTTAGAAGGTCAGTGGGAAAAGTCTGTTTCTGCAGTGCTGAGAGAGGAAGGTGGGGTCTCAGTTCCAGTTCCCCCCGAAAACATGGCCCTGGGGTGGGCAGCTGCTTCCCGAGTTTCCGGCCCACAGACTGAGGGGGAATCGAGTGGCTGATCAGAAGGGGATTGCAGGGATCTCTCTGCTGGTGCTAAGGCAGGAATCTCTTGCTTTGCTGGTGCTTGGATCTGGGTCACAGTTCTGGGTGGCGGTCTTGGGGTGAGAAGGAGTGCTGGCACGGTGGAGCTTGTAGTGGCTGTGGACAGGAAACCTTCCTCACAGCTCCAGGACAGAAAGGAGTGCTTGTGGTCACTAATAGACCAGAGCACAGGCCAGGAAAGGAGTAAACACCTCAGCCCTTATCATACCACCTTGGAAGAACTGAAAATTTACAGGTCCCTACAAGTATCTCTGAAAACAGCTGTACAAACCCTCAAAGCTTGGGACAGTACATTCTCCACGTTGGAAGGAGACTCTTACCTTAACAAAGAGTTTAAAACTCAAGTAATTGGCTTGGATCATGAGCAAGCAGCGCAAAAAGAGTCAGACTATATTATCTTACTTTGGTGAAAAAGAAGATCAAAATATACAACCAGAAGAAGACAACAAAGTCAGAGCTCCTACATCCAAAGCCTCCAAGAAAAATATGAATCAGTCCTAGGCCTTGGAAGAGCTCAAAAGGGATTTTGAGAAGCAAGTAAGAGAAGCAGAGGAAAAACTGGAAAGAGAAATGAGAGTGATGCAAGAAAATCATGAAAAACAAGTCAACCGCTTGCTAAAGGAAACCAAAAAAAATATGAAGAAAATAACACCTTAAAAAATAGCCTAACCCAAATGGCAAAAGAGGTCCAAAAAGCCAATGAGGAGAAGAATGCCCTAAAAAGAAAAATTGGCCAAATGGAAAAGGAAGTCCAAAAGATTATTGAAGAAAATGCTTCCTTAAAAATTAGAATAGAGCAATTGGAATCTAGTGACTTTATGAGAAATCAAGACACTGTAAAACAAATCCAAAAGAATGAAAAATAGAAGAGAATGTGAAATATCTCATTGGAAAAACAACTGACCTGAAAATCGATCCAGGAGAGAGAATTTAAAAATTATTGGACTATCTGAAAGCCATGATCAAAAAAAGAGCCTAGACATCATCTTTCAAGAAATTATCAAGGAAAACTGCCCTGATATAGTAGAACCAGAGGGCAAAATAGAAATGAAAGAATCCACCGATCTCCTCCTGAAAGAGATCCCCAAAGGAAAACTCCTAGGAATATTGTAGCCAAATTCCAGAGTTCCCAGGTCAAGGAGAAAATATTACAAGCTGCCAGAAGAAACAATTCAAGTACTGTGGAAACACAATCAGGATAACACAAGATTTAGCAGCTTCTACATTAAAGGACTGCCGGACATGGAATATAATATTCTGGAGGGCAAAGGAGATAGGATTACAACCAGCAAAACTGAGTATAATCCTTCAGGGGAAAAAATGGTCATTCAATGAAATAGAGGACTTTCAAGCATTCTTGATGAAAAGACTAGAGCTGAATAGAAAATTTGACTTTCAAATACAGGACTCAAGTGGAACATGAAGAGGTAAACAGGAAAGAGAAATCATAAGAGACTTATTAAGACTGAACTGTTTACATTCCTGCATGGAAAGATGATATTTATAACCCATGAGATCTTTGTCAGTATCAGGGTAGTTGGAGGAAAAAAATTATATGTATGTATAGATAGATGGATAGATAGATAGATAGATAGATAGATAGATAGATAGATAGATAGATAGAGGGCACAGGGTGAGTTGAAGATTAAGGGGTCATATCTGGAGAATAAAATTAAGGGATGAGAGAGGATTATATTCAGAGAAGAAGAAAGGGAGGTAGAATGGGGTAAATTATCTCACAAAAAAAAAAACAACAGAAAAGTCTCTTACAGTGGAGGGGAAACGGGAAGGTGAGAGGGAATGAGTGAATCTTATTCTCATAGGATTTGGCTTAAGGAGAGAATAACATACACATTCAATTGGGTATGGAAATCTGTCTTACCCTACAAGAAAATAGGGGGAGAAGGGGACAAGAGAGCAGGGGGATGATAGAGAGGAGGGCAGATTGGGAAAGGGGGTAATCAGAAGCAAATACTTCTGAGGAGGGACAGGGTCAAAAGAAAGAAAAGAATAAATGGGAGGGCAGGATAGGATTAAGGGAAATAGAGCTAGTTTTTCACAACATGTCTACTATGGAAGTGTTTTGCATAACTGCACATGTATAACCTATATTGAGTTGCTTGCCTTTTCGGGGGGGGGGGGAAGGGAGAAGATTTGAAACCTAAACCCAAAGTTTAAAAACATATATTTAAAAAAAAGTGTTTTCACATGCAACTGGGAAATAAGAAATACAGGAAATGGGGTACAGAAGTCTGTCCTGCCCTACAGGAAAATAGAAGGGGAAGGGGATAAGAGAAGGAGGGAAGAGATAGAAGAGAGGACAGACTAGGGAAGGGATATTCAGAATGCATGCCATCTTGGGGTGGGGGGAGGGGTGAGATGGGGTGAAAATTTGGAACTCAAAATCTTGTGGAAGTAAATATTGAAAACTGAAAATAAATTATGTTTAAAAAAATAGGCAATTTTTTTTAAGTGCCTGCTTTGTACCAGGTACTATGCTAAGCAGTGTGGACACAAATACAAAGAAGGCAATAGTTTCTA